AATCACCGTCGAGTGGGCGCGCGCAGATAAAAATCTTGACCTCGACTAAAATTGAGTAGGCTACCTTTATAGAGAGCTCTGCCGCCCCGACGACCATCTTATCAACTTATGTTTGCGCTAAGATTGACTCGGTAAAATAAAAGTAAAAGTCAGGCCTACTTTAGGGCAAGCTGGAGTTTATAGTAAATTAGTCAAAATAAGTTTATTTTATAAGCTGGTAAAATGTATGGTCAATGAGAATGCGTTGGTTTTCTGTTGCGACTGAGATATGTGCCAGTTCGACTCCAACTTGAATATTTTTTTTACCACTGTATGTTTGTTTGAAGAACGTCACTTCTTTTCAGAAGATAGACTAGACATCAGTTCCTAGTTGTAATAGACTTCACAATAGTGCCTGGTTATCACTGTATAATTCCCCGAAGTGTCGATGGAATCACGTTTTCACACTCAGGAAAAGGTCTAGATAACCAACGTGTAATTTTTATCACAGTATTACTGATGACACTTGTAATGGTATTTCCGTAACGGATAGCGTATACCTGATATCGCGATATGAGCGTGTAAATAGACATTGTATACACACGGTAGCCATACCTATGTATCGGGGTAAAGATGCATGTCCTGCCACATTTAATAAATGCCAATTCTCTCTCGTAATGAAACTAACGAAACCATGGTGAAGACCAAATTCACGTCATAACTAATAACATTGCACAGTCACGACTAGGCTGGCGCCTGGTATCAATGCATACTAATTACTGATAAACCCAAAATAGTCTTTTTGGCGCGCCAGGCAATAGCGTTACTGCAATAGAAATCGAAATCGCAGCGCGCCAAAGTGAGTACTTTGGACCAAGATGGTCTAGCGAAGACAAAGTAGCACGCTCGTTACTGATTTTCCTGATTACCATCAGAAACCTGGCCAAAAAAACAAACTTATTGTACCGAAAAGTAAAGAACCCAGTATTAATTTGCTGGAACCCCCTCCCCCCCCCCCAAAGGTACTTGAAACCATAACTATTCAATTTGTCCTCTCTTTTAGATAACATTGACGTGCATGAGCTGGCAATCATAGTCGACACGCGCAGCTAAACAAAAAAAACCGCCCACTTGCTTATGATTAAGATATGAAACAGCCGTCTGATGTAAACTGATTGGGGACTTCGGGCGGATAAGTCCTTCCCTTGCGTTGCCTTTCGGAAGGTGCCTCTTTGAGGTGCCCACGAGGGGCGCGTGGGGGACAGGGACCCCCAACGGAAGGTTTGGTCACACAAGGGGAAGTATCGGGTTTCTAGGGCTGTCATTTCTCATTACATTGCAATCCCCCTAGCGCGGCAAAATTAATTTCAGAGCTGATAGCTGACGATGTGCAGGCGTGCTTCACTACGGTGTCCCCGAAAAGACGTATCGGCTTGCAAGGTACAAGAGGCACCAGATCGCGGATAGGCTCAGGGATAAAAACGGATCAGTTTGAAATTAATCAGTTTAGAACAGCGGTACTTTCCTTAAGATCCGGGTCCAATCCATCCGGGTGGATTGGGTTTTCAGTCCCCTCTGTGGGTTTTCACCGAAATGTCATTCCGCGCGGTTTTCTACCCGGACCTCTAAAAAAATGAAATTTTCTTCAGTGTCTTCTCTCTCCCACATAAGGCTCTTTACACCGTAACCGAAAAACCTGTAGCTTAAACCCTTAGTTTTTATAGCAAAAAGTGTCTTGTTGAAAACATTCAGACGAATAGAAATAAAAAGATGCAACTTAGGCCTTCACAAAAAAATAATAATGAGTAGTCAAATGGGCTTTAATAGCAGAAGCACACACACAGAGTGCTATTGAGATAAGGGGACAAGGGTACGGGGAGGGGAACAACTTTGATCCCCTCCGGATCTCCCGTGTTCAATTGATAATCATTGAGTGCTACTGATGGGCAGGGGAGTTGGGGGCGGGGCCAAGAGTACACGAACTTCCGCTTCTAATCAGCGACCGATTTTTCACCGTGTCACGACCAGTTAGAGGGGGGTTGATGCTCATTCTCCAAACTGCCGTTCACCGCTATCCGAGGACCCAATTGCTTTAATGGCTCTAACTTCGATCCTGGATGCCTGGTTAACCTTAACGTGTCAATTATAAATTGCACCGGAATAGTGAGGCTGAAGACTAGCATGAAATCAATCGAGTATACAATCGTATTTTTTGTAGCATTCTTCATACGCTAAAAATGTCTCATTAGAATGTTGTGTACACTAGTTCATTGACCAGTGTATTTTGCCACCGTTGTATGTATCCGGAAGTTTGCAAGTTTATCGAATAGCATATTAAATGTTTTCCAGAAACCATCATCTCCACAAGATATTTTTTAACTGAGAAAAAGTTGTTGACCCCATCAATGAGGTGAGAACGTTAATACGAAATAACGTGAACTGCTCCGCTACTGAGGACATCAACACCAACAGAGGGCGCACTTCAAATATCCAGGAGTGAAATGCAAGATAAAAGATAGGGTTGCAGACAAGTAAATACACTGCCATATACCCGGTGGTAAATACGCCCACCTCCGAAATGCAGAAAACATACTCACAACTATCTAAAGTGTTTGAGACACACATCGAATTAAAGGGCCCATACAATGTAATTTGTTTGATGCTGTCCTTGAAAATGTACCTTTTCGTTCTATGTAACGTTATGTTAAATTTTCGTTTTGGCATTTATATGGGTATTTCGGAGCATGTTAGGTTTTTATGACAATGCAAATTTCCATATTCATGAGCAAAAATGTGATGTCAATCCGGGCAGAAATGTTAATGTTACATTAAGCAGAAAAAGTTGGCAGAATTTGGATATTTCGCTGTCATAAAATAATTTTGTATTCTTTGATGATTCGTTGTTTTGAAAGTACATGTCATAAGCCAATGAGCAACCCTTTCTCACAAATCTTTTCTAATGAGCAATTTTGAGTTCACAGTTTGAACAGAAAACCCCTAAACTCAGTGTTCCTGAAATGACAACACAGCAGCAGCGCCCTCAGTTGTTCGGAAAAGCATGGGGAATTTAAGAGGAGTAGAAAGTTGCACAAAATGTGCTACTTTTCGCCCGGACCCTTTCATTCAAGCTTATTTCGTCATCTTTAATTTTCTGTTCATTTTTTTTGGGGGGGGGGGTTCAACCGACGACTTTTAGGAGAAAATGTCATCTGAAGACGTTCACCCCTCAAAGTAGTCCTGAAGCCCATCGCCATTTATAAAAATGATGCCTGCGCTCCATTGCAAAATTTTAGGGCCCAATTTCATTTGAATTTCACAGAAATACGAGTTCGCGGTCATGTTCACGACTTGCACCCTTCCTTTTTTTCAAACCCTCAAGTTCATGGCCCACAAAATGCTCTAATAACAAAACATTCAGGACATGCAAATCGTGATTTGGCCAGCTTATGCAATTTCAGGCCTATTTACTGTCCTGCACCCTTTATTATACCCGAAATTTTGCTATTTCACTAAGACCACTTTTCAGGCAAGAGAGAGGTTCCATTAATCATGTTACGTCTAAATATTGAGAAAAACAATCTTAGGTCAGTAACAGGGCTGAACATTTTCAGCAGCATGCATACATTGTCAGACAGTGCATAAATAACGCGCTTTCCCGCAGTGAAATTGCCGTCAAAAATTCACAATTATTATGAAGCACGTTTCTTGGCAGTTGCGTGGGGGCTATTCCCCCCCCCCCCAAAAAAAAAAATCCCAGCGCTCCCAGATGCCCCTCCCCCCGAAAAAAATGCCCCTCGCCAGAGAAGAGCATGTAATTATGAAAAAGAGCGCCCCCACTGTCACAACATGAAGTATGTCCACTACTGTTTTGTAATTATAGATTGCAAACCAACTAAACTGCTATAGACCTAATTTTGTTTATTACAAACCCTCAAGTTCATGGCCCACAAAATGCTCTAATTGAAAACAAATCGCGGCCATGCAAATAGTGGTTTGGCCGGCGTAGGCGATTTCGGGCCTATTACTGCCTGCACCCTTTAGGCCGCGGTTAGACCGCCCTCATGGGGTTTAAATCTCTCAACGTTGTTATGATTTAAGCACTCCGACATGACAACATGGCAATGCGTGCCGAAAGTCACTCGCTGACTTTATTAGCCCTTTAATTCGATTGCTTCATTTCCTCCAGGACATTCATTTCGTCAAAACCAACATCCTTGATGACAACAAGAATAGTGTGAGCTGCGTGATACGAATCAAAACACACTGATTTGTAACCAAGGACGCGTTTTCTCGTATTGAGATTGTGGAAGGAACTCTCGTTTAAATATTTGCCTTGACTTATTGGCTAGTTCGTGTGTAGTGTAAAACGTGTTTCCTGAGCGATGTTTTTGTTCATTAGTTGCCGAGGCTCAGTGTGTAAGCGTGTCGGGCGACTGTCAATGACTGTGCCATGCGTCACTTTGCGGGGAAAAAACCCTAAGTGCGGGTCTATGGATCGAGAGCCAGGAACATTTCTCACATGGATGGATGGAGCAACTGAACTGAACAGAGCGTGTCGTCATACATACTGCATTCCTGTCTTCCCGCGGCCCGAGGTTCAATATATTGAAGTTTTCTAGTCCAAAAGAGCGAAACGTTCCATTTCATTACAGCAGTGCCATGGGAACAGGTGAATTTGAAATTACATGCATTCGAGATTGCGTACATGGAACACCGGAGTGGCAGGTCTTGAGCGGGAGACAAACAACTGCTCGATAGATAGAATGCATTTTCATTTGTCGAAGACAGTGGGTGACATCTGTTCTGGCATCGATTTTGACGCGATGATTGTTTCAACCGCGAGTCGACTGCCTGAAGTACATTGCCGGTATGGCGGAAATTCAGGGAGTGCTGCTGTTCAAGACCCTTTTCCCCCTCTCTCAATAGAAGGAAAGGGAGACACTAATGTTATTCTTTCAAGAATTTAAACGCCATTGGTAATCGTTTTTTTTTCGTCGGGTCTGCAGACTAAAGATAAAGGGATGGCTTTCCAGACAACTACAGACGGTGGAATGACCACCATGAGTCCACACAATGTCACCGTAGTCTCGGTCGTCAAGGCCTGCCTCTTAGCCGTGACGACCACCCTTATTCTCCTCGGCAACTCTCTGTGCTTGATCGTTCTACGCTACACACGCGACGGAGTCAGCCCCGTCACCAAACTGTTTCTGATCTCGCTGACCATCAGTGATCTGTTGGTTGGTGTGCTCGTCGGTGTGCCTGTGGTGGGTTCCACGGCCCTGCAGAGTTGGCCGTACGGGGACGCCTACTGTACCGTTATGGCCATGTGCCACGTCTTGTACTTCAACGCTGGCATGTCCGTGTTGGCCATCAACATCGAGCGATACATCGCGGTGATTTGGCCTTTGAAATACCCATTGATTGTTACCATGGCAAGGGCAGCCATTGTGGAGGTCTTCATCATCTTCATCTTGCTCTTGTGGTTACTTCTCTACGTACTTATGCCCGACCGCATGTCATTCTACTACAACAATTTCAGCCAGTGTTTCATCGACTCCCTGAATGGAACCGATTACCTGGGTCACATTGCGATGACTCTCTTCATCGCGCTACCTCTTTTGATTACGATCGTCCTGCACGTCAGGTTATTCGTACTGGCTACTCACCACGCCTCCAAAGTCGGCAACATAACCTTGGGAAGTTTCAAGTTGCGGGACTCTGAGTCCTCAGCGGGGCAGTCCGATCAACCTCATCCGGACCAAAACGCTCAACCGGCGGCTGCGCGTCCACGCACCCGCCGGAGCCCCGAAGCCAAAGCAGCTCGGACATTCTTCATCATGGCCGTGGTGCTCACCATCTCCTGGACGCCGTACTACGCCACCATCACCTGGGAGAACCTTCGCTCGGACCCGGTACCCGAGGCCCTGGCCTTCACGTCACAGCTCCTCCTCCTCTTGAACAGTATCTGGAATGTCATCATCTACTATACACGAAATGACGCTTTCCGGAAAACGGCCAATAGACTATTAGGCTGCTGTTTCCGAGTTCATTCCTGGAATGACCAAGAACTGATGACTTGAAAGCTCGAAAGTGCTCACGGTGTACAGCTTACCACTTTGTTATTGATAACTTCTTATGCGGCTACAGACAGATTAAGTGTAAAATTAGGTACATTTCACGGGTCATCTTCAGGCCTTTGGGAATGGTTGTCTCTGTGCAGTCACTGTTGTCTCTGTGCAGTCGTTTAAGAATAAGAGCAAGCTTTGTCCATGCACTTAACATTTGTTTTAAATTCCCGTTCCATATGTGAGTTTTAAAGGAGAAAAGTACCCATTTTGGTACCATACAGCATATTGAAATATAAGTTTACTCGGTTACTTTAACACTTGTATCATTCAAGTTCCATGGAAAGATACTGTAATTTCGTTCTAGAACGCCGTTGGGCTCCATCGTTCCGATTTCGAATGTAGACCCATTTGGTAGATCCAATGTAAGTCGCGGCGAATGTATAGCATTCTGATTCGTCCAAGTTTAGGGAAATTCGTCTCATGTGGAATTGCCGTGGAACTGAAAAAGTACCCTCGTTTTTCTTTTATTCATTACCGTACGGTATCTCTCCGTGGAATTTGAATGATATAAGTGTTAAAGTAACCGGGAAATCTAGAAAGTAGCTCAAACGAAGCCAGAATTATTAAAATGGTGCAAACAAAAAGGAAATATTATGACAACATGATTACCAGTCACATGAGAAATAAGGCAAAAGCGGGGGCGAAAACCGACAAATACAAAGGCGTGAAAAGGCACTGGAATCGCAAGTCTTGTAAAAACGTTGGGCAAAACGGGTTGATATGTAGACCAGTGTTGGTCAACATATCCACAGGTTAAACTCTTGGGCAAAAGTTTTGCCCAAATCAACCCACAATGAGGTAATTGTAAACCAATGTTGGGTAAAATTACATTGCCCAACAATGTTTTACCCAACATGTTTTACAGTGGGAAAGAAGCAGAAGAAGTAGAAGGAAATCAGATTAACAATAACCAGAATATTTGAGGAGTAAAATACTTATCAGTGTGCAGTATGCAAGCTTTGGATGCGAGGGCGTCAATCGCTTCTCAAAAGTGGGGGTGGGGGTGGGACATACCTTGATGAGCACTAATGCGAGCGCGAAGCCCTAACGGCGTGGGGTTCGGGGTTCGCTTAAGGGCCCCGACAATTTTTGGATAGACGCTCTGTGCTGCGATCTGAGGCAATTTCTGACCACTAAAACCAATTTTTTGAGCAAAAGATCATCTTTTAAACATCATTTTCGAGTTCGGAGTCATTGAATCAGCTATTCTGAGCTATAGAGTCATTATAGTAGGCTACATTTTTTATTCAGAGACGAAAAAAGTGGGGGGGGGGGACAAACGATATAATATCTCCCCCCCCCCACCACTTTGAAAAGTGTGTAGGGGGACTTGTCCCCCCCCCCCCCACCGATTGACGCCCATGTTTTAATGTATGCTTTTTATGCATCTCTGCTTAACGTTTTGAATTCCCATCGTACGAAATTCATCGCCCCGTAAACAGAATCAGTAAATCTCGAGCGTGAATCGCCATTCCAGGCACTCTGGCGTATCCGGATAAATTGGGTGGCGGATCTAAATGTGTTTCTGAAATAAATGAGACAAATTGAATTTGTTGCTACCAACATTTGTGTTCCTGGAGAAAACAAAACAAAGAGACCTAAGTGCCTAAATCTGAATACAAACCTCTGGAGCAACTGGACTGGGTAAATCTCTTGAATACGAACACACAAAATCGACTTCGAATGCCGGAAATTTGCGAGTTTGGGTGTGAAACCTATAATACTCTGTTACCGTGTCAGGCCAACAAGTAATGAACCAACTTGGAAATGAACTTCAATCTTAAATCGAATGTGGTCCCTAAATGAATCGATACAATTACAAACTGGTATTTAAAGAAAAAGCTTTCACCCAGGTTATTACTGCTTTAGTCAGCTGGCTACACGTTTGATTGTTTTGAAGTCACATTTTGCTTGAGTAATTTTCAAACCTGATTCCTGATATAAGACTGTGTATTATGACTGCATATTGGTCCGGGTGCAGTAGACATATCATTTCAATAGGATTCGTCAAATAAACTTGTGTGTCTACTTTGATTTATTTCCTTCTCATTTCTACGGATGTTGCATGGCCTTTTGTTCATATTTAGGCTAAACCGATGCGAATTTCTTCATTCATCAGCAAAACACTGAATGTCGTCTTAACGGTAGCACCATGTGACAAATCTCTCTTGTGACTTGTTGAGGATCTGAAAAGAACCGAGGAAACTCAACGTTTCGGACAGTATGCTCTGCCCGTCATCAGGAGACTGAGGGGCAACGCTGGAGGGTTGTGATGAAGACTGACTGGAAGCAGTGGAGCGCCTGAATGATGCAACAGCAGGGGCAGGGATGCTTGATAATTAACGAGGCGTGCCAGTATGTAGGAAGGAAGCGAAGGAGGAGGTTGCCATGGGTTATGGAAGAATGGAGACCCTAGAATGACTAGGGTGGGGGATAACACACTATTAAGGTTCAATGCTACAGTGTTGTAAATTCTAAAAGTCCGAGTCAGTGTTCTTGTGTGTCTCGTTGTTGATTCACTACATGACAGTCGGTCAGTAAAGACATCATACTGTATATATGCACAACGTTTTCAATAACCAAAATTAGATACATAATAGAAATCAATGAACTGTTAATATAGGGAGCGAGTGATGAATGCAACGGTGCACTGAAGGGTTCCCTTCGGGTATCAGAAAGTAACATGTACATCGTTATAATAGTGATAAAATGCTGTTTTGAAAAGAAAAAAACAAGTGTCTCATTATTTTCATATAGTCCAAAGCCTTAAGGTTTCTCACAATGAATGTTTTGGTATAAAGTTATTATAATTGCCCTTCATTTTAATCGACAAGTATGTATAAGTGTCATTCGAACATAAATTAAATGTTTATACTGAATTTACAGCATAATTCGGGAGATTCCAGGAAAAGGAAATAACCTTAATGTCAGTATTGCCAACAACCATACCGTATAGACATTGAAAATCCAGCAGGTGATGCAAAAAGAAGGAAACCCACTTTTGACAGGAAGTTTAACCTACTTACTTAACTAATTTGAACTACTTTGAATAATGTAGTGAAGTATAGCTCTTCAAACATACATGGTGAAACAATCTTCGAAAAAATCGCAAGAATAGTGTTATTATGCTAATTTGAATACAAGTCACCGAAATCACCGTTGTTCACGTGTTTTTTGTACACCAACATAATTATATAACACGTAGGCCAGCTACTTATACAAATCTCAATGGTCTCAACTAAATATCTTCTTAATCACCAAAATAATTTACGGATTGGGTTTTCTCATTAGGAACATTGGTCTCGACATAATCACTGCATATTTTTAAGCTCTGGCAGGAGCTTCTACATGTCACTTGGTGGTCTGTCTGTCTGTCATGATGTCTGTCTGTCTGTCGGGCTGTCTGTCTGTCTGTCTGTTCCCAAAAAAATTACCAAAAACGAGCCCTCTAAGTTTTCCATAAAATATAACTACCAAATTTTAAATTTCAAAAAAAAAAGAACGAAATAAATTACATCCTTAACAAAATTTGTGTGTAACAATTCGACAAGTGGTTTATGAAAATTTTGTAATGGAGGCAGGATATGTGCAGTAATGTTATAGTCACGAGGTATGCAGTGATATTATAGTCACGTGGTATGCAGTAATGTTATAGTCACGTGGTATATAGCGCGATATAAACTTAGGGGGCTTCTTTTGGTCAATTTTCGGAGCGTGATTTTCGCGTGGGACGGCCATGGCCCGGGCTTGTACGTACGCAATCATTTCACGCAAGACTTTCATGCCAGCGAGACGGCCACAGCTTATGTTTATTTTCATACACAACAGTCTGGGTAATCAATGTTTAGGCGACTTCAAGTTCAATTTCGATCCTTTTACTCACGTACATGTACTATATATACCCTCTGTATACGTATACTCTCTATAGTACACAAATTCACCAATCAACATCCAATGGCGCAGTGGAAAAGCATAGGGCTCGTGATATTGTTTTTCTAAAGTACTTCAATCTGATTGATTAGAGTGATTTTCTCTCTAAACCGCCGGGTCCTTAGTTTCCCTCCTTTTAAATTTGACAGTTAACACGAAACTTTATTTTATTTAAACCCTTTTCTTACCGCTTTTTGCTTTTTAAATTGCCAAGGATGCAATCAGTTCTCATTTTAGGCGCTTTTCAAATCCGTATTCTGAGATTTTGTTATTTTTTGTTGTTGAGGGGTCCATGAGATGTAATATTCTTAGAAACCCAATTTGTGCAACTTTTTACTCTTAAATGTATGAAAACTGTTTGGCATTCCCTTTTTTGTTAATTTCAGTGAAAAAGTGCACTTCTTTAAACATTCAAACATTGTCCATGCTTTTCCGGACAACTGAGAGCGCTATTGCTGTGATGTCATTTGATAAAGACACTGTTCATTTTATTGGTTTTCTGTTCAAATTGTGAAACCAAAAATGTGTTCATTGAAAACATTTGTGAGAAAAGTTTGCTCAATGGCTTTATACGGACATGTACTGACACAACAACAAATCATCAAAGAAAAGAAAATTTGAAACAGCAAAATGTCCAACATTCTGGCAACTTCTGGTACTGAAACAGCTGTAACATTGAGGTTTCTGCCTGAAATGACATCACACTTTTGCTCATAAATGTTTGAAATTCGCATTGGCTTAAAAACCAAAATGGCACCAAACTACCCTTGAAAGAGGCAAAACGAGAATTGAAAATAAGGTTAACATTTTATGGGACACAAAGGTGTATTTTAAAGGATGGCTTTGAAAAAAATACATTGCATCGGCCCTTTAAACCGTTATGGAAGTCTCGACGTCTTACGGATTCCCGTATTGTTCCATGAATGATTACATGCAAATAATTCTGCGTTCATTTTTTGGCCTGTCCGGACCCACACGATTTCCAGAGTTGAAATTAATTAAATATCTATTGAATCAATTCC